AGCAGCAGCAGCAGCGGCCCGTGAGCGCCACCGACCTTACCCAGTGTCGTCAAGGGGGGGGGGGCCCTCTTTTTTTTATTTTATTTATTTATTTTTTTATTAATAAATAAATAAATAAAAAAAAATAAATAAATATAAATATAATTATAATTAATTAAGAGGAGGGAGGAAGTCTGGTGGCCGGGCGGGGCCTTCAAGCTACTGCTGCTGCTGCTGCTGCTGCTGCTACTGCTACTGCTACTGCTGCTGCTGCTGCTGCTGCTATTGTGTCCGCGTCTGCTGTCTGTGTAGGGTGTACATACACCCCAAGGCATCCTTATTATCTGCCTTTTCTCTTTCTTATAAAAAGAAGATGGGGGGAATTATTAGTACTAATAAACCCTCACAAGAGGTTGCTGCTGCTGCTGCTGCTGCTGCTGGTACTAGCCACAGACGAGCTCCCCCCCCTGCTGCTGCTGCTGCTCCCGGTGCAGCTGCAGCAGCAGCACAAGCAGCAGCAAGTCCAAATCGTAGATCTGCTGCTGCAGCACGGGGTGTACAGACAGATCAAAGTTCGCCTAAAAGTGGTGGTCGTGCTGCAGGTGGAGGTGCTGGATCTAATAGCAGCAGCAGCAGGAGCAGCAGCAGCGTGAACCGCAGCAGGAGCAGCAACAGCAGCAGCAGCAACAGCGGAAATAAATCAAGGAGCAGCAGCAACGTTGGTGCTACCATGGCTAAAAATAGAAGCAGCAGCAGCAGCAGCAGCATCCGTAGATGCGGCAGCAGTGCTGTAACAAAAAAGGCTAGCAGCACGAAATCTGCAGCAGCAGCAGCAACAGCAGCAGCAGCAGCAGCAGCAGTAACAAGACAAGGAAGCGGGAGACCAAGAGGGAGACCTAGGGCTGCATCTGTAGGTGTCTTGGATGCAGAGGCAGAGAAACCATCGCAGCAGAAGCAGCAGCAGCAGCAGAAGCAGCAGCAGCAGAAACAACAGCAGCAGCAGCAGCAGCAGCTAAAGAAGCAACCATCAAAGAAACAGCAGCAGCAGCAGCAGCAGCAGCAGCAAAAGAAAAAGATAGAAGATAAGAAAGAAGCAGTTAAGGAAGAATCTAACAAACAAAGAGACGAAAGAAATAAGAAAAGAAATGATTCTGCTGCTGCTGCTGCTGCTGCAGCAACAGCAGCAGCAGCAGCACAAGACACAACTAAAAGGAGAGCATCATCAGTAAAAGAAGAAAAATCTAAGACTCCTGCTGCTGCTGCTGCTGCTGCTACAGACAGCAGCAGCGACAACGGTAGCGAGGACTATAGCGAACCTAGCAGCAGCAGCAGCAGCCGCAGCAGCAGCAGCAGCAGCATCAAGAAACCTACTGCAGCAGCAGCATCCAAGAAAAGAAAAGAATCAGCAGCAACAAGTGCTGCAGCAGACAGCAGCAAAAATAAAAATGATAAGCAGCAAGACAAAAGACAACGCCGTGCATGCAGCAGCCGCCGCTAATTTCCTGCTGCAGCAGCTGCAGCAGCAGCAGCAGCAGCAAATATTTTAATTATTAATTATTATTGTGTTTATTTTCTCCTTCTTTATCGTTGGCTATTCTAGAGGGAGGCCTTAGGGTCCTGCTGCTGCTGCTGCTGCTGCTGCTGCTAAAGCAGCAGCAGCAGGAATAACAGCAGCAGCAGCAACAGCTGCTGCTGTTTACGGCAGCAGCAGCCGCACAAAAAGCACCAGTAGCAGCACAAACAGCAGCAGCAGCTGCTGCTGCAGCAGCTGCTGCTGCACCAGGAGCAGCACATGCAGCACCAGTAGCATAAGAAGCAGCACCTGCTGCATCCGTAGCAGTAGCACCAGCAGCAGCTGCAGAAGCAGCAAACTGTTGCAGCAATTGCTGCTGCTGCTGTTATTGTTGTTGAAGCTGCAGAAGCAGCAGCAACAACAACAGCAGCAGCAACAGCAGCAACAGCAAGGAATAGCTGCTAATTAATAATAATAGTAGTAATAATAATATATAGTAATAATAATAATAAATAATTAGTAATAGAGGTAAAAAGGAAAAAAATAAATAAATAAATAAATAAATAAATAAATACTTTTTATTAATAAAAAAATATAATTATATAAAATAATAAATATAAATATAAATATAAATAAATATAAATAAATAAATATAAATAAATATAAATAATATAATAAATATATAATAAATATAATAATAATATAAATAGTAATAGATATAAATAATAATTAGTACTTTTTTTATACAATAAAAAAAAAAAATATACAATTAATTTCTCCTTATTAATTAATATATGTATAAATATTTAATTAATCTTTTATCTATAGCAGCAGCAGCAGCAAACAGCAGCAGCAGCAGCAAACAGCAGCAGCAGCAGCTCGTGCAGCAGAAAGCTGCTGCTTTGATGCATATACATTCATGGATGCATGCATAGGTAAGAAAAGGTAAGGAAGAATAACAGCTATTTATGTTTATTTATAAGGAAAAAAGGTATAATAGGAGGAGAAAAGAAGAAAAAAAGGAATAAAATTAATTAAATAAATGATTTAATTAATAATTTAATTAATTATATCTTTTCTTGTTGCTGTTGCTGCTGCTGCTACTCGTTGGCTTCTGCTGCTGCTGCTGTATAAGGAAGTATATAAGAAAGGACCAATGGATAAGAAGCAGTTTGCTGCAGATAGACCATTAAATCGCCATTATTTTTGTTTATTTAAGAAATATATTTAATTATTTTGTTTATTTTAATTCTTTTTCTTTTTATTTCTTAAAAAAAAAGAAATTTAATCGTCAATTATATCTCTTTATCTACTCGGGTGTATCTGCACATACACCGCAACTGTAGTCGGCAGTGGTGGTGGTGCTGTATACGTCATTTATATTCTTTTTTTTTTCTTTTTTTTTTTTATTTTCTTTTTTTTTATTTATTTCTTTTTCTTCTTTTTATTTATAAAAGGATTTCTATTATTTATTTCCTATAGGAAGGCATTATTATATATATAATGAGCATAGAGATGCATGCTTTCTTCTTTATACAATTCCGGCCTCAAATAAGAGAAAAACCCTAAACCCTAAATTAGGGTTTAGGGTTTAGGATTTAGGATTTATAATAAAGATAAAGAATAAGAAAAGAAAAAGAAAAAGAATAAATAAAATGACTAGATCAATAATAATAAACCCTGATTCTCCTCCTTGTTCTCCTCCTCCTTTATATATATCTTTCCCTCCTCCTCCTCCTTCTTCTTCTTCTTCTTCTTCTTCTTCTTCCTCCTCCTCCTCCTGTTCTTCTTCTTCTTCTTCTTCTCCTCTTCCTCCTCCTCCTGCGTTAATAGAGGCACCAATTAACCAAATATATATAAAGAAAAATAAACAAGGAGGAATAATATTTTATATTTCCTCTTTTATTGATCGTAATTTACAGCAAATATTCAACTTTTATTCATATAATGGATTCATGACAAACAATTCTTTTATTAAATTGGTAAATAAATAAATAAATAAATAAATAAATAAATATATTTTTTTTCTTTTTATTTGTTTTTTTTCTTTGTTTCTTTCTTTTTTTTTTTTTCTTCTTTTTCTTATAATATATATTTTCTTCTTTTTTTTCTTTTTCTTCTTTTTTCTTCTTTTTTTCTCCTTTTTCTTCTCTTCTTTTATGTCTTCTTTCTTTTTCTTCCCTTTTATGCATGCATGCATGCATGCATGCATATACACCTACATATAATAATAATATAATTAATATACCTATACAAAAACAACAACAACAACAGCAGCAGCAGCAGCAGCAGTTAATTAAATTAATTAATTAATTAATTAATTAATTAATTAATTAATTAATTAATTAATTTATTTATTTATTTATTTATTTATATGCAGTGTATAGAGAATAAATTATATCCAATAAATAAAGATGATGATCCTTTACATCATATATTTAAGACTGTAGCTAAAGGAGAGCCTTATATAGGTAATTATATTTATTTATTTATTTATTTATTTATTTATTTATTTATTTATTTTATTTATTGATTTATTTATTTATTTATTTATTCATGAATTATACAAAGAAAAAACGCCATTTTTATATACCCTTTTTTCCCCTTTTTTTCTTCTTTTTTTTTCTTTTTATTTATTAATAAATAATA